TCCCAACTGTTATTACAAAGGTTAAAAAACAAGCAGAAAAAAGGAACGAAGAAAAACAACCCGCTCTTGAACAAAACACCACCATCGTGCTCACTCACAGCCACACATACACACTGACTCCAGCAGGACAAAACATAATCCCCTCTCTCTCATTGTGACACATTTCCTGCTGGTTTTTTTCCAATTCACCTTGTGTAGGATCTATTTTTAGTTAATAAAGGAAAACGCTCCAAAGGAGGCAGGAAAACTAAGTTGGGAAAGAACAGAAGAATAGGAGGAAGTCTGCTTGCCATTCAGGCAAACAATTCGGAGCTAATAGAGTGAGCAGTCACCAGGAGCAGAGCTCAGCCACTGCAGAGGAGTGAGGGGAACATAATTGATTTGGGTCATCACAACAGAAGACTGAAAAACATATGGAAGAAGGCCTTTATTAAACGAACAGAGACCAACAGCATGTATCTACTTTGCAGGCCAGTATGTAGGTGAGTAAGGTGATCTTGAAGCCTTTCCATTTACAAAGTGTATTGGATTCTTCATGATAATGCTAACAAACGTCATGTGCAGGCTTAGACACTCTCAGTTAATAATGCAGCTGCTTTCATTAGTAAGAGACATCTTGTACTGCTCTGCTTCTAGATAAAATACCCAACATTTGCATTTTCTTTCACGGAGTCCACAGTACCAACATAAGGCAAACCACTAGCTCACGCAAGTGTGTGACAGCGCTTCTCTGTGATTCAGATATTTTAAGCCTGGTTTATGCAATGCAGTATATGTGTTCCTCTGATGCTGTGACTTTCTTCTCATACAGACGAGCACAAGAGGTTAGGAACGCTGTAGTAACACAGAGTGTAGCAAATGGTCTTGTGTTGAATTCCATTCAACCACGCAACGTCTTTCACCCAGTGGTCAGTCAGGGCTCTCTGTTTACTTTAAAAATGCTGTCACCCTGCAGCGACTGTGTGAGTCAGGACAGAGATGGACACATCCTTGCGAGCTTATTAGCCCCAAAGCACAGTTTCTTTGCTTCGTTATCCTGAACAAGAAGGTTAGCCGGATGTCAAGTCTTCTCATTCCAGTGGTGTTCAGTTCTGTCTCACAGATGCTGACGTAATTGCTAAATGCCATGATGGATTTTGACTAGGAAACATCAAAAACATTCTAGGGAAACAATATGGTGGTTCCCAGTGGTCATTGGTAGCTGGTCAAAAGGCATATTAAAAAATTAGTTTTGTAGAGGGAGTTATTAATGCGTGGAGTGACCTTTAAGTCTAGGCTGGTAATTGTGACTGATTCACTGGCTCTATAGAATCCAATGAGGATGAAATATTCTGATCATAAACTTTTACCTTATTATATTACTGAAAGATAAAAGAGGCCAAATGCAGTCAGTGTATTACATGATTCCCAGATACCCTCTTCAGTTCTTATCGTGGCTTTCAAGGACTAACAGGCAATGTACTGCCCAGGGAGGGAATGGAGTGGGACTGTACTGAACCTGCGTGTGTATTGAGCGTTCATCTTTCCTCTACTGCAGTCGTGCTCACAAACCACTTCTGGAAATTCTCCAAGACTGATGAAATTTTAGGAAAGGGTTTATGTACAGTATGCATGTGCTACTAAAATCTATTTGGAAAGTCTACAAGTTTCTAAATTCCCACTGTACCTCGGTAATTGTGTTCTGTGCTCCTGGAGAGGGGTGAATTATTACACAAAGGAAAAGCATGTGGAGGGCTGTGCTCTGCAGGCTTGAACATATTCATCTTCAAGCTTTCAGGACCCTTCTCTCACCCTCCACTGTGAAGTACATCCTTAATGAGCCTGGTTTATTCACAGCAGAAGTCCCATTCCAGCATTTTAGTTGTAGCTGTGGGCTCAGTGGTAATGAGATTAGCATTTTAGTTTCGGCTAGGGTTTTTTTTTCTGCCCCTCTTCATCTGCATACCAGGGATACCAGAATACCCTGCAAACCTTTCAAGTATTCAAGTTTAAAAGAGAGAGAAAGGCACGGAAGCAGTATTGTTACAATGGGCTCTTTGGTTACCCTAGAAACATGCTGAAGGTTCATCACGCTGGGAAGATTACACAAGTCTCCTAACATCTCCACTACCCTCAAGCCCAGAGGTCAAATAGCAGTTACAATTGCTCTGGGTCTCAAAGCCAGAAATCTACACACTCCTTCCTGAAAATGAAACAGATGCTACAGGAATAAGAATTCACATAGCTTATGCTTGAAGACATTATAGGAAATGTGCTCAGGCTTGTATTTATAATTCCATTCCATTTGTTTTGTATGAGACACTTGCTAAATATTTTACATGTTTCCATTGCTTAGAGGTCATCTTTATTGTGGGTGTAAGTGTACAGATTTTTAAGATACAGTGCATATACATACGCTAACAGAACAGTGAAAAACCTGTCCCGTCTCATTGGCAGGTAAGGGTACTTCAAGCAGAAAGGCATCACTCAGGAGGTCTGGTTTGAAAACACAGGCAGAACCACACTCTGTAACCCAGAAACAGCAGGCTCTGTCCTCCTTACAGATCCCACAGTGGTGGGTAATAAGAACTTTGTGATCACACATTTTTTCACAAGAAAGAAAATTAATGTTGTCGACAATATGTTAAGTTATGAAAATATTGTTTTTTCTCCAGAAAGTGGAAAAGTGAAACTCATTTTGAAACCTTCCCAATTTTTGTGTGTATTAGGTACGCATGTAGTGAAGACATCAGCTGAAACAGGGTGAGGCATGCAGTCTCATTGAAATTCATGTGATAATTATCCATTAGTTCTTAAGGGTCATTTTTGTTTAGAAGATATTAGACAACTTCTATATCAACATTAGGGAAGAATAAAGGGTATTTGATCAGAAAAGAGTATTGATCTACAGTATGTGTGATTTTTAGGTTTATAAGTTTATATCTTTTACAGTTTATAAATTATCAAGTGGTTTACATAACATTGTGTTTTTTCAAAAATTCTGTAGCTTTTTTAGGATCAAAAGTCCTAGAACTTGACCCTCGGGTTTTTAAAAATAGATCGTTAGCAAAAAAAAGTGATTGTTTTGACCTGGGATATTTGTTTGACACCGTAGCCTTCATTGCACCTTCATTGTGCAGAAGCACACCTAATGATGCAGGAATGACAGTTTCTTTATTTCTGTTTGATTTATCCTTAAACTAAAACATTTCAATCATTTGCAGACAATTAAAACACATGTCCTTATAATTGTGAGGCTGTTGGTTTTAAAAGTTCTCTCAGAATACATAGGAGGCCTCAGACTGCATCACTATACTTAGCTACCGGGTACTGAGTCTCTTTACTTGCTGAACCTACAAATGTGTATGAGAGGATCAGCATAGTCTGCAGATCTGCCCAGGATAATATGCAAATATGAGTTAATAGAAGAGTAACTGGGGAGGCATGGAAGTGCTGTGGTTCACATTGTTGCTTTAAAGCTCTGGGGCCCCTGGTTCGATTCCTGGGGTGATACTGTATCTATGTTCTCCGCGTGTTCATGTGGGTTTCCTCCAACGGTCCAAAGACACCAAAGACATACTGGTGGGTGAATTGGATTGTGGGAAAACTGGCCCTGATGTGTGTCCGTGTCTGTGTTTGTGTCTGTCGGCCCTACGATGGACTGGCGTCCTGTCCAGAGTGCATCACACCTTGTGCTCGTTGCTTGCCGGGCCCCTGTATTGGAGGTTAGAAGGCTGGAGGGAAGAGTGATTGACTTGTTGATTGTGATCCGTGGATCCAGCAGCTCCTTCTTCTCAGCTTTGCCTCATCAGGGCACATGCCCGTCTCTCACCAGGCGTTGTTTCTGACGCCCCGACAGCACTGAACAACCAGCACTTTCTCCATCATCAGCCCAGACTCAAATCTCTGTAAGCCTTGGGCTTAGAAAAGAAACCTCTTGCTTGAAAATCAAGTGCTGATAAAAAAAAAGCCCCCTTCCTAAATGGACTCCACTCAGATGGAGGGGGGTGGAGACCAGTTCAGTTGCATTGTAATTGTAGTTAGCTGGCTCCAGCAGGCTTGAGAAATAAGACTTGCTCTCAGAAGTCTGTTATGTCTATGGACACCCCCCATCTGTTGTAAGTGAATTTGGGCAGAGGTTTGGGGCGAGGCAGAGCAGCAGAAGAGTACAGCGGCCGTGGGTCTGTGAGTACGCCGGTCAGCTGGGTCATCCTGCATCCCTTGCAGGATGCAGGAGCTTCACACATTTGAGCATTCCATCTGTGACAGCATCTTCCATCCACACCCATCTCAGAGCACCCAGCACCCCCTGGGAAATCACAGGAGACTCAGGCAATCAGCCTTATTAGAGGAGGTCTAGTCAAGCTGTCTGATTCCAGGAACATCTCAGGCAGAGAAATAAAAGAGAAGGCCGTACTGAAGACAGACATCAGGTAATAGAGAAAGGCTGTAAGTGGAGGTCATAGGCATCTTATGTATAAATGTTACATGTTGCTTCTATAACTGGAGACTTTTTTCCTTTTCCATTGCTCTTTGACTGCCTTTAGCACTGGACAATGTCCATTGCGATCTGCGATAGGCTGGGGAGCACGTGGTCAGATGGACAGACTATCTACACTGGTCCTGTCTTCCTGGAATCTTTGCACAGTGTCGCGACTCTGCTATCACTGCTCCTACAAGAACAGTTTCTCTCTCCTGCTGACAGCATTGAAACAATTAGCTGTGCACAGAGCAGTGCAGGGGAGAATCCTTGCCGGGGTTTATTAATATTTCACAGCTCACATCAGCACTAAATTCATTTCACTCGCACACACAGTTTCCTGTATGCAGTGATTATTCTTTGCTGAACAGGGAGCATCTATCTCATTCTCTGAGCACATAATATTATCATAATCTATTCCTTAGCTTCTTTTTTAGTCAATTATACTCCTTTCTTTACAAATGAGTTACATTTTCTGTTGCTAATTAAAATAAATTCTGTTTTGAATTTTTCATATTGATCTGCGCGAGATTAAAACACATTTGGTGACATCCTGTAAAAGTAACAAGAAAAGAAATGAGGGCAAGGTCAAAGGAATAATGCTAACTCATAAATGGTAATTACAGGATATCAGCTCGAAACACAAAATCCCAAAAGAGCAGGCAGCATTTTTAGAACTGAGAGCCACTTTTAAGATTTAAAATCAGCCAGAAGTCAAACCATCACACTTCTTTCAGTGAGAGCCAGCAGCAGGCTGACATGACTTAGTGGCAGAAATACAGCGCCGGTGTTGAACACCTCCCCATTAGAGCAACAGCAAATAACAAGGCAAGAATTTCATCACCAAAAACAGCCCCTGCGATTCCAGGCTATTTTGTTGCCACTCTTTCTAAGGAATACAAATACTGGATGTATGACTGGGCTGTATGATATTTATGTAGAAGAGTAAGGTGTGATGGCTTACCTAAGCGTGCTGGTGTGTTATGTTTTAAGTGGAAGGAAACCAGAAAGGCGATTGTGTGCGCGTGTTTTTCGCTGGCACTCCCATTACAGTGGCCCTTCTGAAGTCCGAGTCGAAGCTGCCTCTGTCAGTCCAGAACTCAGGAGTGCTGTGCCGACAGCCACACGTGTGTCGGCCTCTGACTTCCAGAATAATTGAAGCCAACGCGCTAGAACAGTGGGGGAGAGGTTGGATTCTGAAGCAGCAACATTATCCTTCCTTGTGTGTCCCCTTCTATAATCTGAACTCTCCTTAACAATACCCTGCTTCACTGCACTCCCGTTCTTCATTCCACTGCAATCAGTGAATCTCACGGCTGTAGAACTGAAAGCTCCCTGGTTTCGGCGCTGTCAGAATGAGGAACTTATGGAGTGGTGCTGACCTCCGGGCAGGTCTGAGAGATTGATCAGAGGAGGTGCATGTGACTGGTTAAGACGTGCAGAGCTGGGCTGTGAGGCCAGCTGTTGCTCAGTTCACGCTGGAGCTATGAGCAGCTGCACTGGCTCTCTGTCTGCGTCGTGTGTTTCTGCTGCGAGAGATTCCATCCCTCCTTCTCCACTGCAGGTTTGGGTGGCATGCTTTCTCTTTCGGTTTTTGGCTTGTTCTGCGGGAGTGCCGGTATATATTTTCCTGCTCCTCTGGGAGTTTTTGCTTTGAAGGGTCACATGCTTCTTCAAGGCATCCTGACTCAGCCTGTACGATGTTGACAAACAGAACAGTGTGGTTGCACCGGGCTGTGTAACGTTGTCACAGAGGGTATCGCTCAGGCACAGGGGCTAATTCTTCATTCTACATAGCAATCAAAGCTGGTGCTCATTTAAAGAGTTTTGTTTTTTTTTGGTGGAGTGATGTTTACATAGAGACACAATTTGAACTGAACCTTTTAGCCATTCTGGGTCAAAGTTGTTTGTGCAGCAGATCTGTGCTCAGAGGAAACAAGAAAAAATGTAGATAAAAGGGCAGCCAGAGTTTCCCTTTGGAGAGCATTTTTCATCTGTAATTCAGTACCGTGTCGTTGTGTGTAACTTGTAGAGGGGATTTCCAGTGAGGATGCTCTTATTCATAAAGAGCTCTTGATTCTCATTTTATGTGAACAACGGATTGGAAAAAATTGTTAAGAAAGCTGTAGGTCACTTTTTAAGAGTTTGGATTAAGCATCATGGGAGAAAGTGTGGTTTGTAAACAGTAGACCAGTAGAGAGGAGGATGTCACTGTCTAGAGCCTCTTCCTGGATGTCTGGGTTACAGTGGACAGAAAGGTATATTACCTGAACCAGTTACCTGAACACCAACAGCACCAGACCGAACACCTCAGTGCTCTGTTCCGATTGACAGTTTTTCTGTAAAAGCGTGCAAACCTGTTTCATGAAATATTCATGGAGCGGTCAAGTGACTTCTGAGGAACTTTGTTCAAAGTGCTTCATATGCTGCAGGCATAGTTACGCACAATATTGTACTGTTGTATGAAAACACAGCTTCTTTTCTGAATTGTGAAAAAAAACTATTCCATTTTTAAAAATAGAACAAGATAAAGAACAAATCACAATAGATACACAACAGCAAGGCGAAAGAAAGTACAGCTCCTGAATGTTCTTGTTACAGAGTAAAACCAGCTCACAAATCTAATGTAAATGTTTCATGTCAGAGAAAAAAAATTGAAGGCTATATTATTTTGTAAAAATAACAATTGAAAACTATTTGAGTACATTTGTAGGAAAGGGGACTGAGAATTAACACAAAAGATGGGAAAAGAAGAAAGAACAATGTAATATTTAATTTCTAGAGCCCTGTGAGCTGAAAACAGTTTTCAGGTGGGCTGGAGATGGGAGCATGCTTGGAACTGTTTCTACGAAACAGAAAGAGGATGAGCAGTCAGTGCGTCTGTGTCTCTCTCACACAGTCTGGGCACTCGGGGAATAAATCTGTTTTACGTAAAATGCCACTTGCAATCTCTGTGTTTGAGGACAGGCTGATATCTCTGTGTGGTAAGTATACAAGACCCCATTAAAAGCCAGCCCTTAACGAGGGTGTCGCTCATCGTTTACACATGCTTAACTGTTTACATTGAGGAGTGGTACTGGAAAACAGAGATAAAGCAATGGGCTTTTAGCACATTTCTTATAACAGTTGATGTGCTGTGCAGAAGGAGCCTCTGAACTTTGTAGCTCAGCCATCCATCACCTGCCCTCCCCAAAGAAGCTAAAGAAAACCCTCTAAAAATTCAGAATGCTTGACAAGTATTTCGTTTCTCCTTCCCTTTGTCACAAACATTAAAGGTATTTCAAAACTTGACCAAGCAGAAATTCCTTTCCATATCCCTTGGTGATTCTATTGGAATTCTTTAGGCAAAATGGTGCTCAGGAGATGTCTCATAATTTTTTTCTTGCATGTCAAGCCTGTAAGAGAGCAGTGGTGAGTACTTCAGAATTGTGGTTGAAAGGTTGCGGGTTCAAGTCCCTGGTGTGTACTTCTGTTGCATCCATGAGCAATAAACTTCACTTAAAATGCCCATCTTGCATAAATGGGGACATGTTTAAGTTGCATTGGCAAAATACATTTATTTGCTAAATGAATCCACTACACTGGTAGTTTAATTTTTAAAAATTGGAAGTTTAGTTTTGAAAACTGATATTTGCATATTTATTTTTGAGTTAAAACAGTATAAAGAAAACAGATACAGTAACATGCAATGAAAAGAGATTTAAAACAAAGGGCTTAAAAATAAACTGGTATGAATACAAATTTTCCTTATATGACGTAATCATTGAAGAATGATGACAATCTGTGTATTTGCAAGTCCTTTTTAAAGAATCAATTTCTGTTCTTCACACATTAGCCTGCCTTCGTGCCAACAGCCACAGAGAAATAGACACCTGGCTACAAGGTGCTGCTCACTGGGTGATGATAGATTAGACTGGTGACACATTAACTCTCACTAGCCAGGATCCCAGGCAGGGGCTGGTCAGTGAAGGAGCTCTGTGAGTTGGAGCTGTTGTCAGAGTAAAATGCCCCTGATGGCTATTATTATTTCTGAGACTGGCCTCTTATAAGAATTTCAAGGCCCTGCATAGTCATTCTGTAAAATATTAATTAGTTAATATTAAGTTAATAATTAAGTTAGCTGCTCTTTAACTGCATTCGTGAATGGTCTGATTCCTGCTCTGTTTAAATGTATTTTAAATGCTATGATATCTATGCTCTGTTTCCTCTTCATTGTGGTTTATTTTAGGTTTTTGAATGTGAATAAATGAACTATTGGATTTTACCATTTTTTTATCCTTGTCATAAAGTAGAGCTGACCACCAAGGACAACTTGGATACAATCAAAATGTTGTTGTATTTTATCTTTCGTGTACAGCACTATTATCACTGGTGTAACAATTTAAAACATCATGCATATACTTCACGCACAAAAGTGCACATCATGCATATATTCTGAATGCACAGCATTGTGTGGATTTTCCAGCTGTCTGCCTTTCATTTGCTCTTGGGCTACTTCATGCACTCCTTTTACTGAGCTTTGAAATTGTTTTATATTCTAAGAATGAATGCTGTATGAAAAAATCTGTATAGTGGAGCCTTAATGACAATGATACCAGTGGAAATTAGTCAAATAACAAAGGCAGCCTGACACTGTAATGCAGTAACATTCAGTAGATTGTGGGTGGGATATCTGTTCCGGTTTACATTAAGGCACGCAATTCAGCTGGTCAGGCGCTCGGAAACTGGGAATAGTAACAAACGCAGAAATGTGTTTAGACGTGTTTGCAGAGAAGCTATTTATTGAAAACACGGCTAGTATCCCAGTGTTCCGAGATGTTGCTTCTGTCTGTTACAGCTGTGCTGTTTAGGGGTGGAAGTTGCTCACGTCAGCTCCAACTTCCTCTGGTTACAGACAACAGATGGAACAGCTCCAGACAGAAGTATGAGGCAAGGAGGTGAGGAGGGGAATCGATGGCACCCTTTTTATCATTCACAGATTGTGTGGAAAGCGTGGAGGACTGTCGCAGTGAAACCATATTTAAGCGAAGCGGCACTATTCATCTGGTTCACAAAACGATGGTAACAGTGATGATGGTGCTGTTTATACTGTCTAAATGTATTCACATTTGAAACCAAGGACACTATTTGGAAACCTGTAGGTCAGCTGTGTTTTTCTAAAGTGTTGAAAAACCAAGAAAAACATTCACCGATACGTTTCCCTCCCCAAAGCTGGCAGTAGCAGGGAATAAAATAGAGCAGAGCAAAATAAAAAATAATAAGCTCCTGCTGGAAGAGACGATTATGATAACCTACAGCAATGGGATATTTTCTGCAGGGGGGGGTAAGACATGGGTTTCTGACGACGTAATTGTTTTGCGAATCTGAAGGCCAAGGTGAAATTTAATGGCAGTTACATGAAATAAAAAACGATGAAGACAGTGGTTGGGGAGAGGAGCTTGTTGCTGAGAGGTTCCTAGGTTCCAAGTTTATCTTCCAAGTACTCTCAGTTTTAAGCTCAGACATATAACTAAGGAAGTTTAAGTAACTGCTGTTCAGGTCGGGTCCCTCCTTAGACTCTGTTGGACATTTTGGAAGAAAGATTCTGTTGAAATTGTTATTATCATGCAAGATGATAGATTTTCCATTGGTTTTGCGCAGGTTGGCTTGGCATTGAACTGGAATGAATGTAGTGAGTGCTGTTGCTATGGTCCCCTGTTTGCTCACAGCTATAAAAACGTGTATTAGGTGGGCTCTCCTTTAACAGCTGGTCAGTTTTGAACCTCTGGGGTCCAGACATCAGAGCTGGTCTGAGCTGCAGGATGCAATGGGGTGAAGAGTTCAATCAATGCACTCCGAGCACTGAATTAATCATGTTTCACTGATCCGTGAGCAAGCTGTAAGCAACAGATAACCAATTTTCACGATTTACTACCACTCAGAAATATTCGTAATGAATATCTGAGTGATTTACTTTCATTCGATCACATTGCTACTTATATTTGATTAAAACATTATTTTATTTTGCCACATTCAACATTGTTAAAATATCTTGTGTCATTCTGTATGGATTTATTTCTAGATTACCACTGGTAGAAAAGAACAAGGCTGTGCAGACATTTGTAAAAACTAGTGGATGCAGGCTTCGAGGTACATCTCATATGATTCAGATCTTAACATTTAATTAAAATCTGGAAAAATACTGACATCACATTTATGAAGCATCACAGAATCAATTATGATTTTAACTGTGACATGATTTATGTGTGTACCAACAGAGAGATGGTAATGGATTATACATAAAAGCACTTAACGCCCAATCACCAGGGACTAATTTTCCAGGTCTTATGGTCTTTATTTTTTCACGTAAAACCAATTAATTGCAAGGCCCATCATTCAATTTCTAACCATGTCTGGGGGTCAGCTGATCATCTGTGTGAACACTGATCTGGCGTCAAATATTTGCATTAGCCAGAATAGAGCATTGTGACAAAGCAATTAATGTTCCTGTCTGCCTGCTGAAGACACCAAATAAAACACCCCTTTCATTCCCACTATGAGTACTGTCTGCCAATGACATGTACA